CAGCTGGTCCATGGTAAAAAGGGAAAAGATGAAATTTAGATGAGATTTTCTAAGCTGAACAGTATTTTTAGCTGTTCAACACAATATCCCTTAAATAACTGTGTTTTGGGAAGTGCTGTTTGTGTTTCTCATATCTCTCCAATAAGGCATCCAGAATAAGCAATAATTGTGAGAAATCCTGCCTCTAACCCTTTGACACCTTTGTTCATTATTCAAATCTCTCAGCAATTATCTTTTCTCTCTCACCTGTCTCAGTCCCTGACAGCCAATAAATAGGTGTGTTTTGGTGGGTTGAAAACACTTGACAGCTTGGGCAACTGATTTAATACTTTTGTATACAGCAGAACAAGTATGATCAAAGGTTATTTCCCACCCCCCTAATAAATTCTTAATTGTTATTATGTTTTTTTAATCTCTCCAATTTTAAAATGTTGTGTTGGTGGTCTTGGTTTTTACCAGTAGGCAATGAAATAATTAACGTAAGAATTGACTCTTCTTGAGCACATCTGTTTTGAAAAAGATCAAGAAAGATGTCTCAAATTTTACTAAATAGAATAAAAATCAGTGCAAACTATTTTTACACATCTTTTCATCAATCCACATTTTTTCCATTGTTTTATATCTTGTTGTTGACCTGTGACAGGTATTTCAAATTGTGTTTAAGCTTATTTTTGCTGCATTAGTGGCATCACTTTCCAGCCCCTGTTCATGGGAGATCCTTCCCATCTGGCTGTAAAATGGATATTTTCTCTTTCTTATTTCACTCTAACATTCTGGCTTCCTTTTCAGGGTGATGATATTGCTCCCGTTAATCAGACTTACTTATACCAGGCTCATGTCTCACATTCCTTTTCCTTGGATCTTATGGAAATGCTGTGATTTTTTCCCAATTTTGGCATCCAGCTTTGTAGGTGGGTTGCAATCTGTAGTACAGCTCCCAGTTATTTGAGGAAGCAACTGCGTTTAAATGTGTCAACACTTTCCCTTAAGTGGATCATCTCTCCTGCCTCCTTTAGTTTGGAATTATCTGAAGGAACTGATTGTCTTAAACTCATTTGTGTTTGTAGAATTCAAAGGTTTCTCTTAAAAGAAAGCTGGACTTTCCTGCAGGTTTTAAATATAACTTTGTTTTTGTTTTTCTCGTGGTCCTTTCCACTTAACTTTGACTCCTGTAATGCTGGTGCTGTGCTATGCAGATGTTTCCTGGAATATCTCTTTCACAAAGGATGGACTAATGGGAGTTCTCCTGAAGCATTATTTTCAAAACAGGGTAATAAAAATACTCGACTTCTTGTTCTCTGTGTCTGGCCTGACACGCAGTGTGAGTGCAGAGGCTCAGTACACAAACTGTGGAACAAAAGGTTTGGGTAGAGAGGGAACTTCTTTCTGTCAGATATCTTGGTGGCAGATGTACTTGGGAGGCTGCTGTAGCTAAAAGTAAATTTTGAAGCCTATTTAAAACATGATTTGTGACAGAATTCTCAATAGGTTGTTTATGACAAATATACTTTTATAATTTGCTAAATCAAGGGAAGCATGAGGTATTTACATTTGCAAGATTAAAATGATTATAAAAACCTATTTAAACCTTTAATTTTAATACACATCATTCAAAATATCTGGAAGTTCAACATGTTTACACAAACCTTTAAAAATTATTCCCACTTTCCTGCTGGGTGCCAGTCTACCATCATATTTAATGTGTTTTCCTAATGTGAGCAAAGATCTTCCTCAAGAGCTTGTACCCATTGAATGGAAAGGAGGGTTTTCAGAGAATAAAGACTTGTTTTTCCTCAGACTGCCAGGAATGGGATGAACAATTGGCAGGTGGTGATGCTTTGCTACTTTGCTCCCCAACTGGAGCTGAGATTTCTAGAGATGTATTTCTTTTTCACAGCTGACAATGGTGTGAGTTTTACTTGGCTCTACCTTAGCCATGAGATGAACATCTCCAAAACTCTCTGGCATGTCACATAGTCACAGAATAACAGGTTGGAAGGAACCTCTGGAGTTCATCTAATCTGAACACCTACTCAAAGAAAGCCCAGTTAAAGCAACTACACCAATTAACTTGGATAACTTGGTAACACCAATTAACTTGGATAACTTGGTAACCAAGTCCACTTAGGGTCATAGAATCATAGAACGGTTTGGGTTGGAAGGGACCTTAAAGATCATCTCATTCCAGCCCCCTGCCATGGGCAGGGACACCTTCCACTATCCCAGGTTGCTCCAAGCCCCATCCAACCTGGCCTTGGACATTTCCAGGTGTGGAGCAGCCACAGCTTTTATTTGTGCCTGTGTCTCACCACCCTAAGTAGATCCTGCTTTCTCTGAAGGAGATGCCACAGCCTCTCTTGGCAACCTCCTCCCACCTGCTTGATGCCCTCACAGGTAGAAAGTTTTCTTCTACCTACTGAGATTTTCCCATGTACCAACACATGTCTGTTGTCTCTAGTCCTGTCAGTGGGCACCTCCAAACCAGCCCGATTCTGTCAGCTCTCTGCTCTCCCATCAGGTACCTGGAGGCAACAATAAAATGCCCCTGAGCCTTTTCTTCATAAGGTTGAACAAATCCTGTTGTAGCTGCCTCCCCTCATCCATCACATGCTCCAGCTGCCTCACCCTCTTGGTGGCCTTGGCTAGATTTGCTGTAGCCCTGAAAAATATTGTTCTTTGGAAACTTCCAATCACGAGGGGAAAAATTAACACTGTTATGGTCGCTATTCATCTAAATGAGACCAAAGTTATTGAATTAGGAATAATAAAAACAGAATAATCATATAAATTTTCCCATTTAGCAGCTTGAACCCAGTCAGAGATACACCTAAATGTATGACAGATTTATAAAGAAATTGCCAAGAAGTAAAACACTCACATTGAATTCAGTTTGCAGGGAATTAGTTTGCTCACCAGAACATAGACCTAAATGATTAAAAGTAGGTGTGCACCAGGTTTCTACATATATATGCCACATACCGACTTCTAATAATTTCAGGCCTGAAGTTTTGGGGTATCAAATAATTTATACTGTCCTAGTATAGCACATTGAAATTTTAGCCAGAATAGTAAAAAGCTGAGTGAAAAATAATCTACTTATGCTCTACCTGAAACATATTCTGTGCTGACTCAAGCTGACTGTTTGAGTAAGACAGTCTCTTCAGCAGATGTCCAGTTTTACTATATTAATTTTAGCTAAACACACTTTACATCTGCTAAAACATGTACTGAGTTAGCAGGAATTCAACAAAAAGAAGTGCTGTTTGTACATTCTCCAGTAAAATTCAGGAAATACACTTCTGATGATATCTTGGAGTAAAAGATGACTTCTGCAAAAGGGATTTAAGAAAAGGAAAATGACAGAAGCTTTGTGACATGGTGAAAAAATATGGATTAAATGTATCAGAGCTGTTGCTAAGAGGAGCTGACAGAGCTGCTGAGATAGCTCAATGACCTGATTAAATAGGAGCGAGAAACCGTGTTCTCTGTCCACCTCTACAAGACTTCATCATAAATTATTTCATTAACTTGGTATATAGAGATTCCCTCCTTAAAATAGATGTCAGATTGCCAGGTAGGCAATCCTGAGGAATATATATAGATACCACTGTCTCATTACTTGTATGAAGCTGAAAAGAATAACCTCCATAGGTGTGTAGGTTGAAATTGAAAAGTCAGGGAACATTGCATTAAATACCTACAGTCATAAAGCAACAAAAATACCTGAAACACTTACCTCTCAAAAACATTTTACACTGACTACTGGACATATGGTAATCTCTCTTACCCAATGCCCAGACTTTTTACTTATCCATTCACTCCATATAAATTCTCTTGAATCCCTGAAGTTTGGGAGTGCCTTCTTTATTAACTTATATTCTCAACAAGCTTAAATAGAACCCCCCTACGAAATGCATGAACAGGTTTTTATATACCTTCTTCTTAATATGACTTATTAGAAGTTGAACAGGTTTTCTAGTTTCTAGCTGTTCCCATAACACATAAAGTGAAGTCTGGGTAATGTACATTTAATTGGCACAGCTCAGCCTCAATGTTCTCTCTAGCAACAAATATGAATTGACTACGTCTGTCAAACCTTTCCTCAACTTCTTCCTTTCTGCCTTTTGTGGGCAACTGCTTCAAAGAGGTTTTCTTTTGTACAAAGTCTTTCCCTCTATGTATCTATTTAGTATAATACCTGTCAATTATTTTACTGTTATTCCCTCATCCTGCAATTTCTCTCACATGCATCCAGTCCATAATGCTGCATATCATTTGCTTGAAAACCATGAATAGGACAGGAGCTGGAGAGCCCAGCATAAAGGCTGATGGTTCCTTAGTCCTACACTTTCTTTTTTCCCCTCAAAACTCTACTTCACATTTCTCTGTTTGCATTATGTGCAGCCAAAAAAGAAAAGAAAGGTAGATTTTATTATTTCAAGGTTCAACATCCTGTCAGTAGAGCTGAGGTAAAAAAAGAAGAAAAATTCACAGCAAAAACAGAGAAAAAGGAAGTTATCATGAAAAGATCTGAAGAGGAGAAGTAAGAAGATATCTTACTTCCCTCCTTTAGCTCTGAATCCTGTTCTATTGACTCTGTTGCAGTTTTTTCTATTGCTGCTTGCAGCTGGGTAGGTCACCAGTAGCAAACCTTGGAGAATATAACATAATAAAAAAACCCAGTTCGTTTATTTATCTTCAATTTGCACATGCAAACATTCTGTGTACATTATTTCCAAACACAATGGGAACAGTTCTCAGAGCTCTGCCTAGTAACCAAGGGATGGGAAGGAATACATATCCTCTAGTAAATTTACTGGAAACATGTTACAGTGTACGCTATCAAAAGAAAGCAAAGAAAGGTATTTTCAAAAAAATATCACAAGCATTTCAGTGTCTGTGAGAAATTGAGAGCAGGATGGGAAAGGGTGTTTACACAGGCACTTAGCCAGGAAACTGTGTTTTCCACAGATACAGTCATTCAGGGAGCACATCTCCGATTTTCCTGAGCTCCCTCCCTCTGTTCTCATCCCCCTGCAATTATATTGAGAAATCTTTCTGTAGGTGAGAAAATACATCCAGTTCTGCACCATGTATTCAAACGCTGCCTCTCCTTTAGGTAAGTGCTACCACACTGAGGCCATTTGTAGGAATTTTACATAGCAAGACAAACAAATGCAAACCCTTAAGGAAACGAGCTGCAGGATAGTTCCACAGTGACTCGTTACCAAAAATCTGCCTGAAAGAATCCTCTCCAAATCTTCTGTGGAATGCAGCATTGCTCATTAGCGGGCTTGATGGAAAACGCTGTGAGGTAGATAGAAAGTCTTGTCACTTTATTTGGATGTGCTTCCCTGCATCTTAAGTTGCAGCTCCGGATCCCTGAGGATCATGTGAGGCTGGGTTATATATTAGAGCCGCGCTATAGTGCTGGGAGTGTGTAAGCCTGGCAGCTGGGTAGTGTTATGGTTGCTGCTTTCCTGTGCTAAGCTGATTTACTTGTTTAAGGTCTGACCTCATCATCCTGTCAGTATGGATTCCCACCTATACAGTTAGCAGCAGCTCAGCATCGCCCGGGAGAGCTTGCAGTGTATTAATCAGAAGAGAGAGGGAGAGAGCTACCGGTATTTGTTCTTTTGTTGCCTTTTCTTAAGAAGAGGAGTTGAAACACAAGAGATAACAAAGAATCCATTTCCTTCCTAAAAGAATAGGCTTTTGTCCTTTTTTTTTTTTTTTTCCTTCCTTGAAAAAAATGTCAGTATCTGGAAAGAAAGAGTTTGATGTGAAGCAGATCCTGAGGCTCCGCTGGAGGTGGTTCAGTCACCCCTCGCAAGGCTCCACAGGCACGGGGGGCTGCCATCAGCAGGAAGGATATGAGCACAGAGGGACACCGGTGCAGAACAGGTTGAAGAACCACTCTCGGGACAGAAATGGGCTGAAGAAGAACAGCAGCCCTGTCCACCACAACATACTGGCCCCCGTGCCAGGTCCAACCCCGGTGCACCACCGATCTATTCAAGCCTGGCATCAACAAAACCTCATAGAACAGCTCCGAGCAAATGAGGATATTCCCAAAACAGGCACAGAGGAAAACTGTGGTAAAGAAGATTCAAGTAAAACCTCACAGGAGTTGCAGATGATCACAGAAGAAAATACAGATGAATCTGCAGAGAGGTAGGAGTTTTAAAGTCTGCTCTTAGAAAGACAGACTCGTATCCAAGTTATTCCCTGAAACTGTCTTTGTTTTTAGCCAGAGTTCCTTACTGCATTAATCTCACTTTATATATGTGCACACCCACACTCAAATGAATAGGAACACTTTCACGTTAAAAAAAAGAACGGAAACATTGTCAGGAAATTTTGATCTTTGCTTAAGGTACCTCATTTCATAACTCTACCATAAAAATATAATCTGCCAGTTTGTCAAATTAGCATACTAATTTTTTCTCTTGATATATTATGTGTAAGTGCAATGAAAAAGGGAGCCTCCTGAAATCCTGTCCTCATTCTGACTTTATCAATGGGTGCAACTTTGACAAATGGGAACTGCTGGAGGTGCACAGGGTGTGTGGTTGCCAACCATCTCTCAGAATTCTCACTGCTTTTATTTCACTGCCTTCCTGACAAGTAAAATTAACCTTGAACTAAGTGGAAAGGAAGCATCATTATTTGCTTTTTTTAAAGGTTTGTTTGAAATCTCAGTACTTTCACAGCTTGTTTAGTATACTAAGACAAATATTTTCTGCAAGGTCAGGTGAAAAAACATTACAGCTATGAGACCTTAAAGGTGTAAGCACAAAGAGCTATTTTTAAGTAGTGAATACCAGAGAATAACATATTAACACCAGCTGTTTGATTAAGCATTTTTTATGATTTCTTTTACAAAATTATTTTGGCATTTTTAGCTTATACAGCAACAACTTTACCCCACCTTCACCCCACCTTGGACTCAAATTAAGCATTTATAATGTGATTATTTGCACCATTTGATGAGATTACCACTAGTCTTCGGGAATAATTCAAATTTCTTACATTGCATTTAAATACAAATCTATCTTAGTTGAAGTTACAGTTTCTCTCAGTGCAAATCAAGCTGGCAGCTTGTGTATTTTTAGCAGTTATTATTTTTCAAGTTGTGCATCTGCTGTAGGGAACATCTGCAGAGTGAACAGAAAAATCTGCATTCCAAAATGTCATTTGGAAAACAGTCCTAGCAGTCAATATGTACTGGATAAAATCATTACAGAATAAAAGCAGCGAGGTGGGACTGTGGGAGTTCTGTATGTTTACAAGAGTACTAGTTTGGAATGTGTAAGCAGCATTCTCATAGTACACCATTCTGGATGATAGTAAAAACTCCCTGAAAAAAAGGTAATTTTAACCACCTTAGAAAGAAAGTCAATTTAGCTTGAAGAAAAATAAGGAACAGAAAAATAAGGAACACTTATTCAACAAAATAAGGTTCTATATCAGGTGAAGAAGGAGGTATAAAAAGCCTAATCAATTCAGTTTGGGAGGTAATAATAAACCACTGTCTTCTAAAGTAAGATGTGACATTTTCTCCAGCTATATATAAAGTTTCTTCTTAGACCTTAAATTTTGTGCCTTCATATTCATCCAAATTAAAGTTCTGCTCTCGGGCTGTTTAAATGTGCAGCTTTTAGAATAGTTTTGGGGAATGTGTATATCATATACTGTTCTATTCAAATAAGGGGTGTTTTGAAGTTTTCAGTAAAAGCTTGCTGTGTGTGTTGTACGTTAAAACACACCTGAACAATCAGGCATTTGCAGGATCCCCTGAATCCTTCTTCTCTCACCACTAAAGCCACCACAGAATGAGTTATTACAGGTATTGCAGCCAAATGCTCTTTCACATCCAGACCTGAGGTCAACAAAGACATATTTGCCTTTTATGCCATGAAAGCACTGTACCTTCAAAGGGGTTGTCTCCAATACAGACAGGTGGCCTCTGCCTCTACAAGTCTCATTTTCAGGTGGACTCTACAGCAGGACACTGCTGTGTGTCACTTGGACACTGAAAATAGTAGAAAGGGAGAGAAAATCTTGCCAATATCTCAACTTGAGCAGAGTATGAAAGGAATTTCTCCTAACAGCTTAATGCTTCCTAGGAAAAAACTTTGGAAACACAAAACCAGTATTCTGAATTGCTTCAGAAAACTTGAGATGTCTTTCTCTAAAAGCCCTAGGATTCAGTGCTGCCAGTGACACAGAGAGAGCACCCCGGGGTTTGATGAAATAAGGGTTGATTGAGGAGGAAAAAGTCCCAGACAACAGTTCCATTTTGCATACGTGATCATCAATATGCTTGTTTCTGCTTTCTTCAATCCAGTTTGGCATTCCTGTACCCAAATTAAATAGTGCAAGACTTAAAGGAACCCTTCTGACCCATAGGCTTGCTCATGAATAATATCCCATGACAAATAACAAATAAATGAGGGCTTAAGTGACCAAAACTCCTTAGTTTTGTCCAAACAGCAGCCAGTTGTGACTAACCAATACCTGCTGGGTCATAACAGATGAATAAATGTCTTATTGGCACAAGAGTAAGGACAGCTCCCAGTGTGCCTGGGGACTGTCTTGTCAGTGTTGCTCAGGGAACAGGCTCAACAGGTACCAAACTAGCAGCACCTAAAATGACAGGACCTGCTTCCTTATAGAAGTTGCATCTATAGTTTGGAAAAAAGATGAGCAGTGGACAAGATATGTTTACTGACCTGATTCTCACTAATCTACTCCTTGAATGAGGATTGGGACCTGTACACAGGTGAAAAACACAGAAACTGCCTAAAACCTGAATAGCTACCAGATAATTTTGTTTATTTGTACAGTATATTTCCCACTATAAGATGTTCTGGTATTACTGGGATGATCAGAAAGCTAAACCTGCAGAGTATGGTCATGTCAACAAAGATTGAAAACCTTCAAAGATCTCAGATTTGGCTTAAAGAAAGAGCTTAGTGAACTCTGAAAGAGCACATGGAAGACAACCTGTGAATTACTGCTGGTTCAGAGGGCCGAGCTGTGAAGGGTTGTGCATTTTAGCTGTTGAGGACCATCTCTGGATGCAACCTTTTGAGATTCAGTCTCCTCTATCAGGGAGACCTTGAAGCATTCCCACTTCTTTCAAAGAAAGTGATCTGACAGTGTCCAGAGACATCAGCACGAACTGGGAGGATTTGAGTGTTAGACTTTGCTTGACAGTCGACAAAAACTTTGCTCTTGTGTGCAACACTTGAACACACACTGAACACACAAACTGACAGAGAACTGGAGCCTCCTGACAAGAAGAATCATGAAAATGAATTACTTTGATTACTCCCCTAGATAAAGTCTGGACTCACAGGCCTGACTGTATTGACCTTTGCATGTGAGATTGTGCCCAGCGTTTATTACATTATGCTACTCTGCCACATCCATTTCTGTGTCCCTGCTAGGTTTGTGATTCCATAACTATACTACTGTACACCATGTGTGCTGGTGAAGTATCTGTGAGGCTCATTTCCTAGTTGCCCAAAGGCAGCTAGATTTCACTAATGAATGGATCATCCATTCATCATTTTTCTCTTATGCATTTTTTTCCCCCTAATTTTATGGCTGAAAAATTGCTGACAAACTCTAGTTTGGGACAAACTCCAGTTTTGCTAAAGACATATGGTTTCTAATTTCCCATATGAGACAAAATATACTTCTAATTAATTGTCATAGAATCTTTTGATGTCATAATCCAAGCAGTTGGTACTGATGCACATGGAAAGAGAGAACTTGGGAGGAGTATCCTCCCAAAGGCAATGCTTTTCTGTGGTCATTATTTTTGATGTACAGTTATTTGATAGCTCACCTTAAGGCTTGAAAACTCTTGTTTTTTCTTTTTTTTTAGCCATATGAAAATAGCTATCAGACTATTTCCCTCACTGTCTCTCACAGACATATACACACACATACGTGTGCATGACTATTTTGGGTGTTATCCCCTATGTGAGGGTTTTCCCTTGAGTTCTATTTTTAATTCCAGCAGCAGATGACAGTCTTGGCTCACGTTCTAGTGTGAAATGAAGGTACCATGAGGAAAAATACCCTTTTAGTTGTTGCAGTATCCTAGAAGATACTGAAAATGTGGAAATGAAAAAAAAAAAAAATCAGTGTGCAGTACCTGACCCCAGTTTCTTGTTCCTAGGCTGCTGTTTTTTTGGTTACCTAATGTGGCACAGGGTACAGATGTTGTCAAGGTTTTTTTTCTCCTGAGTATTTTACTGGGGAGAGTCATTACACTCCACACTCACCAAGTCCTCCAAAGTTTGCAACAGATGCTCATTGAAGCGATGCCTGCCTAATTTTTCAATACAAAAGACAGCTTCCAAAAAAGAAAACAGGTGATAATTTTCCTGGTGAGAATGGAATGTGTGAATTATTCTACGAAACCACTGGTCAAAGCAGGTTTTTGGCACTACGAGCACAGTTCTGGGTATCCAAATAAACAGTCCTACCACCTACACATGAGAATGACTGACAATGAATCACAAGGCCCCAGGGACTGGAAGGACTGTGATGTGCCCTGTGCAGAGGAGATGACAGAGTGCTGCATTCAGTGGAACATCATGACACTATTTCCCCCTCATGAGTAAGAATTCAGTTCCATGAGCCATCTCTGATGCGCAAAGTAAAAGTTTAGAACTGATGATTCCTAATCTCACAGCACAGCAGCCTTTGTTGCTAAAACAAAATTACTTCAGATTTATTTTCACTGAACCTCCAGCATTTTGAAAAAAAGCTTTCAGAAAATCTCAACTTTAACAAATAAAAGGTTTAAAAATGTAAATAATGTTGGACATCTAGTCAGACAGCACTGTGACAAAGTTGGATCAGCTATGTTTAGGTGCTTCCTTGGTTATCTGTAATACAATTTAAGCTCCTTATTTCGTTGGTCTTTCCCTGATAGACATAGGTAGCATATTGTTCCCCTTATGCCTTTTATTCCCACACTATCCTTCTTTACACAATTTGTTCATATGTTTGAAAATTGCTGTAAGTCTAAAGAGCTGCAATTCTTGCAATCTTTTTTCAGAAGCCCCATGTCTGACAGGCAGGATATTTTCATTGCTGTCCTGTGTGTCCCCAGCCTGTCTGCCTGCACTTGCAGTACTGGGGACAGATCT